ATTCCTTTCACCTCTGTGCACATCAGCTTTTCAGCTTTAATCTTCTTCCATTATTAGTGACAGAGCTATTCCTACTTGTGCTTTGCTCTTCCCCAGTAACTGATTTAGAGATTTCTGACCCGGGAGTCTCATCTTCCAACACTATCTCTTGTTGCATTTTGGATTGTCTCATCATAGGGTTTTCATGGTAAGAAAGATTCAGCAGTAAAGATAAGCATTTGCTGCAGTTCAGTGGTTCAGCTGATTGGCCCACTAGTGTTTCTCAGGCACCCTGGATTCCACCCCATCCTGCTCCCGTGGGCACTTTTTCTGCTGCCATCACCATTGGAACTTCATTCTCTTTTGTTGATGTGGCTGTTACTCCTGAGGAAGGTGGATACATCTTAGTTTGGTCTCTCAGTGGTGAACATTCTAACTTGAGTGGTCCTGCTAGGACTTCATGCTTGTAATGGCGTCTAGCCTCTTCGTGGCATTGCTCTCAATGTCTTGGACACATTCAGACTCCCTCACCACGTTCAGGTGTGCACCTAAGAAGGGGTGCAGAGTTTTTGCTCTCCTATATTCAGTAAAGAATGATCTAGAATCCTTCATATAATAATTGCACATTCACTTTGCATTGTGTTTCTGCTATTACGGAACGTTCCTCACAGGAAATCTGGTTTCCCCCTTTTCTTCCAGTTCGAGCTGCTCTCAGATGCAATGTCTGCAAACGTCGCATTTTTGGTCTTTACTGTGTAAAAGGATTCGATATGTGCATAACCCGCCCGAGACATAAGTGTAAAACCATTTTTGTCAAAGAAGGTACGTTTATGGTGAAATGGATGTTTTCATGAGCTTGTTTTTACGCAGCTGTGTGTCACAGCCGCTTGAAATTCTTCCCCCCTATTTCTGGTCCAAGAAACTTTCATGGAAAATCCACGGGGTGTGTATGTGTTGCAGCTGGAAGGGAATCTTCTATCAGTTTCATGAGAATGTGATTGTAGATCCAGGACGAAGGCAGCCATCATTTGCTACCCTAGTTGAGATTTTGCACCTCTAACCCTTTTTCTTTATGGAGAGAAAGAAAAAAAAAAAGAAATCACAGGATTCATCATCACCGTCTTAGAAAGGTAGAGCTGGAATGGAATGTAGACCATCAAGTCCAATATGCCTGTCAAGGAGGCACATTGGCCCATATTAGGTTTTTATAGTATCTTTCCTCAGCTAATTCTTTATTTTATGTTCCTTGATTTAGTGCTATGAACCATATTGTGAAGATCCCGGCCCCTGAAGCATTTCTTTCGTTTTTAAAAAGTCCTCTTTATATTGACCGTTACTATCGATATTAAGATGGGTCCTAAAAAGAAATAAGAAAAAAAGAACAGACTGCTTGAGTCATAATGGGAAAGAAAGGCGGTGATTTTGTGATGGGTGGGTTCACCTTTTCGTTCAGGCTGACATCATGTTTCCCTGGCACGTCCATGGAGGGGGGGGGGAGAAGGCAATGTGCTGCAGTGGATGACATGTGCTCCTCTTATCACTCTCCTGCCTATTCTCTCTCTCTTTCTGGACACTGGAAGCAGCTTCTGCTATTGAATGCCTAAAAACCTACATCCGGTGGCAAAGGGATTACCACGACGACCGAATGCTGTGACACCCATGATTTCTGCAATTAACGAGCACCTTCTGCATGGCAGATTAAGAGCGCCTCATCTCCCGAGACCATCTTGACCGAGCTGTCCAAAGATTTGTAGCAGAAAGTTGGCTTGTAGTGTTTCCCCCTTCACCTTATTCATTTCACTTGAGAAGTAGAAAGAAGGAACACTGTGTTCTTCTCAGGTATGGACCTCTCCTCCACATGCGGCAGTCCACCAAGGCCCGAGATGATGTCCGACGGCTGATGAGAAGAGGCTCTAACTGGGCGGTGTTCTCATGCGAGGACATTTTGAAATTGAATACACACTGTTCTGAGCACCTTGAACACACTAGACTGGAAGACTTATCAATCAATCAATCAATCAATCAATCAATCAATCAACCAACCAACCAACCAACCAACCAACCAACCAACCAACCAACCAACCAACCAACCAACCAACCAACCAACCAACCAACCAACCAACCAACCAACCAACCAACCAACCAACCAACCAACCAACCAACCAACCAACCAACCAATCAATCAATACTGATTTACCATAGTCATCAAGACAAGTCAGTCATAGCAACCTTAAGTCGGAGTGATTTATTTAGTGAATCAAGTGTGCTCATTTCATCTTACTTCAGAATTTGAACTAGGTCTGGTTCCTCTCTGGGCAGGATACACCTTCTGGGACCTCCAGAAGGACTGCTTGCCTGAAGCTCTGAGGAGCCACCACCACTCAGAGCTGACAGTACTAGACTAGATGGACCAAAGGCCTGTGTTGCATGAGGCAGCTTGCCATGTTCTTAAAAGTAGGATATAAACACACTAGAACAACAAACAGCAACAACTGAATGCAGTCGTGCCCTGCTTAACGATCATATACCCTGCATTACGATGAATCCGCTTCACGACGATTTTTTTGTGATTGCAATTGCGATCGCAAAACGATGGTCTAAATGGGGTCTTTTCACTTTGCGAAGATCGGTTCCCTGTTTCAGGAACCGATTCTTTGCATTATGACAATCAAAACAGCTGATTGTCAGATTTTCAAAATGTCCACCAGATGCTTAAAATGGCTCCCCACTGTGCTTAGGGACGGATTCCTCACTATACAGGCACCAAAAATGGCCGCGGTATGGAGGATCTTCGCTGGACAGTGAGTTTTTAGCCCATTGGAACAAATTAACCCGGTTTTAATGTGTTTCAATGGGTATTTTAATTTCGGTTTACGACGTTCTCACTCTACAGTGATTTCGTTGGAATGAATTAACATCTTTAAGCGAGGCACCACTGTAGCTGTATGGGGTGATGGCGCAGATGGAAGGTGGCACGGTAATTCTTTCTATGCCTTAGGCCAGTGGTTGTCAAAGTGAGATAGCCAGATATTTTTGGACTGCAGTCCCCAGAAGCCTTCACCACTTGCTGTGCTGGCCAGGATTTCTGGGCATTGCAGTCCAAGAACATCTGGGGACCCAGGTTTGAGAACCACTGTCTTAAGCCAACATCAAGCCACCTGCTAGAATGACTTCAGGGTTGTTTGCATGTCATTTTTGATTCATTAAAGAAGGTGGGTAGTGGACTCTGATGTACTTGGCTGAAGGTTACTTGAGAGCAAGGAGAGCACGTTCTCTTCCTAAGTGATGTGTGGAGGGCAGGAATTGAATTTGTCCTCCTCATTTCAGATGGGCAGATATGATACCAGTTTCTTATCAAATTTGCCTCCAGAACTGAAGCATTTAAGCATAATCACTGACCAGCTAGTGCTGATATATGAAGCATGTAATATGGAACTCGTGATCTGTTTCTCATTTCTGAATGCATTCTTCTTCCTGCAAGATTCTACTTTCTACATCAGTTGATAATTACTTAAAGAAAAGAAATGCTGAATAAAACTCTACTCCTCATCTTCTTGGCTGTGATCTGTTGCATCATGTGAGAGTAACATAAAATGAGGCCAAACAAGAATATTGAGCTTGGAGATTAATAATCTTTTGCTGGATCCTCTGTCACAGAATTCATTTATTCCACAGAGTTTGTATTGGTTTGTTTGAACCTCATTATTTTCTCTTTGCTTGACTAGGCAAGGCACAGTTAAGCCCTATGGCGCAACCATACGATAATGGCCATCAAGAGACATGGCTTTGGATTAGAAAGAAGAATGAACATTAAGTCTAAAGTAGAAGCATTTAAAAAGCAGAGTGCTAAGAGTTGCATATAACCAATTCTTTAAAAAAACCAAATACTCCTGTTTATGAATGTGGGGTATTTTGCTTCTGTACCCACAATTCAAAATGCCAGGAACCAGCTCAATAATATTGAGCCTGTGCTGCCAGCAAGAAAAAGATGCAAGCTTTTCATCTCAAAGGCCAGCCCAAATGGTGACAACATCCTTGTCAGCAGTCAAGATGGTCTACAGGATACCTTCTTGTGCTCACAACCATTCACTAAGTGACACCATGCAAGGGAAAATCTCAGAAATTGACTCCTTAACCACTTCTCACCCAAATACAAAGTAATTGTCATGGCTGTTTTTCAACCAGTTTGAGTGATAGTGAGTAGAACAGGGTATCCTTGGGTGTTTGAAATAACCTACAGCTGCCGAATACAGTGGGGTCTTGACTTGAGAACTTAATCCGTATTGGAAGGCGGTTCTCAAGTCAAAAAGTCTGTAAGTCAAGTCTCCATTGACCTACAGTGCATTGAAAACCGATTAATCCCGTAACAGGCCGTTTTTGTTCCATTTTGGTTTTTTTCTGGTCTGTAAGTCAAATCTCAGTCTGCAAGTCAAACCTAAATTTTGCAGCCAGAGAAGTCTGTAACTCAAAAAGTCTGTAAGTCAAGCCGTCTGTAAGTCAAGGGTCCACTGTATGATGCCTCCGTGTCTGAGCTGCAAGACTGTGTGACAGAGGAGGAAGTGGCTGAGTGGGGCTAACCTCTGTGGGCACTACAAAGCATTCAGGGCGCTATGGTTTCCTGAGTGGGTGGCCTGAATGGAGTCTAATGTGCAGCACACCAAATCAGTTTTCAAAGCTGAAAGCAACTGCTTTTAGAGGAAGACTGCTTTAAAGGCAACGACCACCTGGTAAACTGCTAGCTCAGGATGAGGATACAGAAGAAAGGAGAACTTCTATTTGCTGCAGTGGTGGAAGCTGAGATGATTAATCAGTGCCTTGATATGGGGGAACAAATGTCCAACCTGCATGTGTGGAACCGTCGTGGGAGAACAGTACCAGCCTTGTGTATTCCTCTGTGCAATAATCAAGAGGCATCATCAAACAACCCGTTGGGAAGTCCTAACACTTGCTACTCATTAAGGAAACCAGAGGCTCAGATCCTCCTCCAGATAGAGAACATTTTGCTACCACCTGACACAGAGTTTCATGAGCAAGCACGGAATGGGAAGGTGAATAAATAGCCTTTACCAATCCTTCACTCCAGTAATTCTCCTTCCCACTTGTATTCTGCAGGCATCAGCGACCAGGAGAATCATAAAATCATAGAGTCATTGAGTTGGAACAGGCCTATAAGGCTATCGAGTCCAACCCCTTGAGAAAACAAAAGATGAACAGGATTCTGTTCTTTGGGTGTTCAGCCTTCCTCTGCTGTGCTTTCGGTGAGTAAACACTGGGAAATGGGAAGAAAGTGAAGGTGGTGGGTCCCGCTGCAAAGAACGGAGCTTGGGTCTGACTATTCTATGTAGAATAGTCAGTATTCTCTTCTCTTCTCTTCTCTTCTCTTCTCTTCTATTCTCTTCTATTCTATTCTATTCAAGAATGGCAGATCAAATGCCCTTCTGCCTTCCCACATTTTGAAGAGTCTTCTAGTCCCCCTCTGATTTAGCACTGGTTAGTGTCCAGTTCTGGGCACCACACTTCGAGGTGGATGATGAGAAATCGAAACAAGTTTAGAGGAGGGCAGCAAGGATGATCAGGGGACTGGAAACCAAACCCTATGAGGAAAGACAGGTTGTATGGGTTAAACTTGGGTCACAGATTTATTAACTATTTAACTAATTCCCCAACTACAAGGGGGCCTGACCGTAGTGCAATCTCCTATTAAGAGTCCAGAGTAACCTATACCTCCAGACGATTCAATTAGAGCAGGGCGAGCTCCTATTTCTGAATCGTGCTGTTCAGGTGCTCAGTGCTCATTGAGTCTCATGACCCTAAGTGGGCTGCTGTTTGTGAGGTTCCCCTATATGGAGCCACCTCTCCTCAGATGCCTGATTGGCTCTATCTGACAGAGGGATGGCATAACAGTCTAATTCAATTAGAGCAGGGCGAGCTCCTATTTCTGAATCGTGCTGTTCGTTGAACAGCACGCCTTCAGGTGCTCAGTGCTCATTGAGTCTCCTGACCCTAAGTGGGCTGCTGTTTGTGAGGTTCCCCTATATGGAGCCACCTCTCCTCAGATGCCCGATTGGCTCTATCTGATAGAGGGATGGCATAACAGTCTAATCCTGAACTCACCCCATATCTGTCTTCTCACTACCTGCCACGGCCAGGGGCTATTTATATGCCCCAGGCCTGCCACCAGAGCCAAACATTTTGGCACGAAGGCCCCCTTGCAGGTCCCTAAGAAAAAGGCCAATACCCAACTTTGATAAATGAACACCATCTTCCCTGTATAACCCACGCTGATGGACTCCTAAGTCCGGATGCTGAATTACAACTCCCAGACCAGCCCTCATGGCTTGATCTACCTCACGGTTTACACCACGCCTTGCGCGATCAATACATCTAGGGTCACAATCCGCCCTCCAAACCCAACGTGGAATGACGTTGGACCACAGAATTCTCATTGCAGGAAATTTATCCCTCAATGTCTCCAGGTCCTGGATAACCTGCAATATCAAGGACTTGCCCGTTCCGACTGTCAAGTCCTTTCTTCCTAAGTGTACTACAAATATATCTCTGGGCTCGCCTGAAATGCACCCAAGAGCATGCTCTAATAGCTGAGGCCATAAAAAGGTAAAGGTAAAGATTCCCCTTGACATTTTTAGTCCAGTCGTGTCTGACTCTAGAGGGCAGTGCTCATCCTGTTTTCAAGCCGTAGAGCCAGCGTTGTCCAAAGACAGTTTCCATTGCCACGTGGCCAGCGTGACTAGGAACGCCATTTTACTTCCCACCGTGGTGGTACCTATTTATCTACTTGCATTTGCATGCTTTCGAACTGCTAGGTTGGCAACGAGCTGGGACAAAGTGATGGGAGCTCACTCCTTTGCGTGGATTCAATCTTATGACTGCTGGTCTTCTGACCATGCAGCACAGGCTTCTGCGGTTTAGCGCCACCACGTCCCTAGCTGAGGCCATAACATACCCCCTTTCCTTTCCAGTCTAGCGAGGCACTGGCCCCGAGACCTACGTTGCGACCCCAACCGGTCCGCAAGGTGTGGTTCGCCGCCCAATGAACATAACTCTGGCCAACTATAACTACTTGGATATGCATGGGAGCTGCCTTGTCACCTGAAAAAGAAAACAAATTCCCATCTAATGTGGAAGAGAACAAACATAGGACATGAATCTGTGTGATGACCACCTTCCCACCTTCTTTATTTGCTCTTCACTGTAGCCCAAAGCTACAGTGCCTATCCTAAAGGAATGGGTTCCAAATTTCCAACCCACAATACAGTAGTGCCTCGACTTACGACCATAAACCATTCCAGAAGATGGTCCTAACTCGAAATGGTCATAAGTTATCTAAAGCACTGGTTCTTAACCTTTGTTACTCAGATGTTTTTGGACTGCAACTCCCAGAAGCCTTCAGCACCAGGTATGCTGGCTGAGGTTTCTGGGAGTTGCAGTTCAAAAACACCTGAGTAACAAAGGTTAAGAACCACATCTAAAGTTACCAAATGAAAGAAAATTGAAGGAAGTATTTAGGAGAGTTTGGGATTTATTTATTTTTTGCAGAGAATCCTGAATGGAGAGACTGAAAATAAATTGGATAATAAAGAATGGGAGGAAAATATGTGCAATGGGATATCCGGGAGGAGCATTTTGGGGTTAAAGCGAAGAGGTATGAGCAGAAACAAAGTCAATAATGAAGTAACTGCAAGAGTGGAATTGTGGATCTTAGTGTGTCTAAATGCAGTAGCCCTGTGACACTGACTACAGTGGTGCCTCGCTTGCCGACAATAATTCGTTCCAGCGAAATCGCTGTAGAGCGAAAACGTCATCAAATGAAAAAAAAAACCCCATTGAAACGCATTGTAAACTGTTCAGTGCGTTCCAATAGGCTGAATACCTGCTCGTCCAGCGAAGATCCTCCATACGGCGGCCATTTTCAGTGCCTATAAAGCAAGGGATCCATCCTAGAAAACAGCGGGGGGCCATTTTCTTCAGCCGGCAGCCATTTTGAAACCCGATGATCAGCTGTTTGCTGATCATCGTAAAGCGAAAATCAGTTCCCGATGCAGGGAGGTCCTGAAGGAGGAGGCACCAGTTTCCACCCATGGTGCAGAAATGAACGGGGTTCTTCCCAGGATTCAGACCAGTCCTCCAAACACATTTCCAAAGAGGGCGAGGAACCATCTCCTTCTGCCACCACCTCCTGCGACCGTTTTAAGCTCAGCGCCTGCCATTCCACCCTAGCTCTGGTTTTGCCTTCTCGCTGTGACTCTACCTTCTTCTGGCTCCCAGCTGTGAACCCACTTGTACCTTCCATGTTCTAAGGCTACTCAGGTAGTCAGCCAGGAGGCATGGAGATGAAGTGGATGGCCCAATGGGAAAAAACTGAGGCAATACCCCTCACAGTAGACCAGTCTAGTTCTACTCTATGTTGCTTTCCCGCCTACATTTCTACGTTCGCAAAAGGCACTCCGAATTTCACAATTTATTGAATCCATGTTGAAAATGCACATTGAAACATTCTCAGCCTATTTTTGACATGCTTTTCTAAATGTACTTTTAAAAGACCATTTTCTGAAACCAAGTGATCATAAAACATGGTAGCTGTTTTTGTATACATTTAAATACACTGTTAGCCCAAGAACGAAGGAGTGCGAAAATGTAAGAGATGTTTATGTTCCAAGGTGTGCATCAGGTTAGGAGTGGCTGTGCCAGAGTTTCACCAAAATCAAGTTCCTCCCAACATCTATGAGACGGAGCCTCGTTTATGGACCTCTAGGACTTGAGGAGTCTAATTTAATGTTTCAGCTGTTGGTAACGGATTCTTATTTTTCCTTGCAAATTGAAGCTCTTAGATGTCGTTATTGCATGGTGACCAAATGTTCAGCCGAGACACATGGGACGTGCCTAGCTCTGCCTGGGCAACATTGCTTCACTGAGAGAGTCTACAAACGTAAGTTTGTTCCAAAGTGAATGTTTGCTAACTTTTGTTTGGCTGCTTTGTTTGTTTCCCGTTTGTCCCTTCTCTTTGGAAAGATCTTTGGAGGAATTTGTGATTAACTTTGTTTCTCACTGAGCACCTTAGCGAGATTCATTCTTCCCATGATATGTTTGCTTCCCATGATATGGTTCTACTGGTTCACTGCATGGATACATCCCCATCAGCATCTGGTTGAGATTTGACCCAGTGAAGACTGGTGTTCATCTGGGTGCCCGTTCACTGTTTAGGAAACAGTTAGGATGATGTAGTCTTAGCGGTTCTGTCTTTTCACCTAACTAGAAATCAGAGAATGGGAATCAAATAGGCATCTTTGTCAAAATCACTCTATTTCAATTCATATATCAAGATTTTTTTTCTCTTAACAACTTGGTGAAATAAAGAGATTGACAAAATGTATTCTCGAAGGCTTTCACGGCCGGGATCTGAGCGTTGTTGGAGGTTTTTCAGGCTCTTTGGCAGTGTTCTGAAGCTCTTCTTCCTGACGTTTCGCCTGTCTCTGTGGCCGGAATTTTCAGAGGACAGGATTCAGAACTCAGCCTATAGTTCTGACTTCAAGAGTTCTGACTCCAGTCCTCTGGAGATGCCGGCCACAGAGACTGGTGAAATGTCAGGAAGAACAATCTTCAGAACATGGCCAAAGAGCCCAAAAAACCCAGAACAACCATCAGATTGACAAAAGTATATTGAATTCAGTTTAGCTGTTTAGCCATTACAGAGGGTGGGTATGTTATCGCTGAACATTGGTGTGGAAGAAAACTCACCTTGTATAAAAAGAAGTAGTATACAAATAATTGTATTTTCAGGGCTCTGGTGTGAGAGAATATTATTGAGAAGATTAGTCAAGAACGTTAACAAAACCACTATTATTGCTGCTGTTAAGTCGTGTCTGACTCTTCGTGACCCCCATGGACCAGAGCTTCGCCAGGCCCTCCTGTCTTCCACTGCCTCCCAGAGTTGGGTCAAATTCATGTTGGTGGCTTCGCTGACACTGTTCATCCATCTCATCCTCTGTCGTCCCCTTCTCCTCTTGCCTTCAAACCTTCCCAACATCAGGGTCTTTTCCAGGGAGTCTTCTCTTCTCATGAGATGGCCAAAGTATTGGAGCCTCAGCTTCAGGATCTGTCCTTCCAGTGAGCACTCAGCTTTGATTTCCTTCAAAATGGATAGGTTTGTTCTCTTTGCAGTCCAGGGGACACTCAAGAGTCTCCTCCAGCACCACAGTTCAAAAGCATCAATTCTTCAGTGGTCAGCCTTCTTTATAGTTCAGCTCTCACTTCCATACATCGCTACTGGAAAAACCAAAGCTTTGACAATGCAGACCTTTGTCGGCAAGGTGATGTCTCTGCTTTTCAAGACCCTGTCTAGGTTTGTCATCGCTTTGCTCGCAAGAATCAGGGGTCTTTTAATTTTGTGGCTACTGTCCCCATCTGCAGGGATCATAGAACCCAAGAAAGTAAAATCTGTCACTGCCTTCATATCCCCCTTCTATTTGACAGGGGGTGATGAGACCAGTGGCCATGATCTTAGTTTTTTTATGTTGCGCTTCAGACCATTTTTGTGCACCGACTGCTGAAGCCTACCTTGTAGGATTTTGAGCATAACCTTGCTAGCGTGTGAAATGAGTGCAATTGTGCGGCAGTTGGAGCATTCTTTGGTGCTGCCCTTCTTTGGGATTGGGATGTAGACTGATCTTTTCCAGTCCTCTCGCCACTGCTGAGTTTTCCAAACTTGCTGGCATATTGAATGTAGCACCTTAACAGCATCATCTTTTAAGATTTTAAATAGTTCAACTGGATTGCCATGAACTCCACTGGCCTTGTTGTTAGCCAGGCTTTCTAAGGCCCACTTGACTTCACTCTCCAGGATGTCTGGCTCAAGGTCAGCAACCACATGAGGTTGTCCGGGAAATCCAGATCTTTCTGGTATAATTCCTTTGTGTATTCTTGCCACTTCTTATTGATGTCTTCTGCTTATGTTAAGTCCCTCCCATTTTTGTCCTTTATCATGTCCATCTTTGCACAAATTGTTCCTTTAATATCTCCATTTTTAAAAACAGATCTCTTGTTTTTCCTTTTCTATTATTTTCCTCTATTTCTTTGCACTGTTCATTTAAGAAGGCCCTCTTGTCTCTCTTTGCTATTCTTTGGAAGTCTGCATTCAATTTTCTGTAATTTTCCCTTCCATTTTATTTCCGTTCTCTTCTCTGCTATTTGTAAAGCCACGTTGGACATTCACTTTGCTTTCTTGCATTTCCTTTTCTTTGGGATGGTTTTTGTTGCTGCCTCCTGTACAATGTTACGAGCCTCCAGACATAGTTCTTCAGGCACTCTGTGCACCAAATTGAGTTCCTTAAATCTGTTCTTCACTTCCACTGTGTATTCATAAGGGATTTGGCTTAGATTCTACCTACCTACCTACCTACCTACCTACCTACCTACCTACCTACCTACCTACCTACCTACCTACCTACCTACCTACCTACCTACCTACCTACCTACCTACCTACCTACCTACCTACCTACCTACCTACCTACCTACCTACCTACCTACCTACCTACCTACCTACCTACCTACCTACCTACCTACCTACCTACCTACCTACCTACCTACCTACCTACCTACCTACCTACCTACCTACCTACCTACCTACCTACCTACCTACCTACCTACCTACCTACCTACCTACCTACCTACCTACCTACCTACCTACCTACCTACCTACCTACCTACCTACCTACCTACCTACCTACCTACCTACCTACCTACCTACCTACCTACCTACCTACCTACCTACCTACCTACCTACCTACCTACCTACCTACCTACCTACCTACCTACCTACCTACCTACCTACCTACCTACCTACCTACCTACCTACCTACCTACCTACCTATCTACCTACCTATCTATCTATCTATCTATCTATCTATCTATCTATCTATCTATCTATCTATCTATCTATCTATCTATCTATCTATCTATCTATTTATTTATTGCCATTGTAAGTATATTCTGAAATATTAACGAAATTATGAGACAAGTGGCCAAATTCTGTGCTGCAGCAGTGGTTATTCATAATCAAATGTTTCGGCAGGTAATTTTAGATGGATAATATAATGTTTTTAATATAACACTTGTTAAGGTTTTACTTATATTAAGGATATATGATATTATTAACTGTCAAGAAGGGGTTGTTTTGTCATGTTTAATATAATTTTATTACCCTGACTGACTTTACGAAACTATAATTATATCTATCTATTTTATATTGATTTGATTTTACTGGGCTTTGGCCATAATAAAGTATCCATCCATCCATCCATCCATCCATCCATCCATCCATCCATCCATCCATCCATCCATCCATCCATCCATCCATCCACATCTTAGTTTCAGACAGTCAATCAGTTGTAGAAATATTACATTTCCTTACCACTAAAATGATATTTTCGAGCAGGGAGATAACAATTCAATGGCTATTTAGAGTGTCACATGTCCAGTAAAATTAATGTTATGCGTCAGGAAAAATCCAAGATTTTTTAGTCTTCTGAAAAATTCTCCTGAAGATTCACTGACCCGTTCGTTCTCAACTCTTTGCAGAAGATGTACGGGATTTTATCTCGAAAGGATGCACTTTGCCGGGAGATAAATGCAATACCACCAGAGAAGATCGTGGCTGGGGCACGGTGACAAGAGAGTGTTGCAATATCCGCAACTTTTGCAATAAATGAATTTGCCTTCCTGGCTTCACCTTGCCAATTGGACCGGTGGAAAGCCGTTGCAGCAGATCAACCAATATTAGAAGATATTTTCACTTCCCTCTGTAATATTTGCGAGAGCCTTCCTAGCAGATGGTCATGTATGGAAGTGTGCAAATACCACACACTATGATTTGGCCCCAATTATTTGTCTAATCACAACCAATTCGTAGCTCATCTGATTTGATTTGTGTCTGAATCTTTAAAAGCATTTGTACGTATTTGTATGTATTTATATGGATGGGATTTTAAAAATTATTTTTGGACTACAAATCCCATGATTCTCAATCCTAGGAGTTCTACCTGATAGACAGACACCTTATAATCACTTATATGAGCTTCAAAATAGCTGGAGGTCTTTGAGGTTGAGTTAGGCTGACATCAGCCTTGTTTCTTGTTCCTTGCTAATGAGTAATAGTAAATCATATGCATATAAAGCTAATTTAAATACTTGCAATTGAACCATATACCATCCTGCTCTGACTAATACCACGTGACAATGGTTCCAAACAAATAACAATGGAGACAAGCAACATTCTTGTCTTGTACCTTTCTCCAAATGAAAAAGATAAGAAAAGAATCCATTGACCCTTACTTGTGATTTATGACAGGGACATAAAATTTTAATCCTTTTTACCTTGGGAGATGGTGAGCTGGAATTTCCTCTTGAATGCTGGAAGCATTCAAGAGAAAATTGGATAACCATCTGTTAGATCCGCTTTGATCTGGATTTGTGCCTTGAGAAGAGGGTTGGACTTGATCGCCTTAAAGGCCCCTTCCAGCTCAATTTTTCTATGATTTTATGATTACCATGGAAATTTAGTAATAGCTTATGTTTGACAAATGTTTAAGCATTTGGCCAAATACAGTACACAGTTGTATCCAATACCTGTGCAAAGCCTTTGAAGAAGTAAACCCATGTAGTTCCATCCATCTGTCCTTGGGTCAAGATGTAGCATCCATTTGGAATGTTTTTCCAGATGCTTCTTTTCCAATAAAATATTATTTTGAAAAAACATAATTGCATCTCTTTCATTGCCTTAAAATTATGTTATGGAATGTTTTATGAGTTTCATGAGTTCACATGCTTCTGCTGCCTCTTATATTCTCAATATATGATGTTTCTCAGAACCTTGTTCCTGGAACATACAATCTCAGAATGTTGGTGATTAGGCAACCACACGCTTATATCTATCAAAGAGTCAATCAAAAATTAAATGTAACAAAAATGGATGCAACATAGAACAGCTCATTCTAAGAACTTAATGGTTTATGGCTGCAGAGCCAGAGGTTGGGAATTCAACTCCCCACTGTGTCTCCTTAACAAGGGCTGGACTTGATGATTTATGGGGCCCTTCCAGTTCTGCAGTTCTGTTTATCCTAGTTCTTACAGAATTAGCAGCAATATGTCTGGATTCGACTACAGTGGTGCCTTGCTTAACAGCGATAATCCATTCCAGGAAAATCGCCGTTAAGCGAAAACATCGTAAAGCGAAAATAAAAAGCCCATTGAAACGCATTGAAAACCTTGTACTGTGTTCCAATGGGCTTAAAACTCACTGTCCAGCGAAGATCCTCCATACGGTGGCCATTTTTGCTGCCTGTATAGCGAGGAATCCGTCCCTAAACACAGCGGAGAGCCATTTTATTTACCTGGCGGCCATTTTGAAACTGCCTATCAGCTGTTGAAAAATCATCGTTTTGCGGGGAACCGATCATCGCAAAACGAAATTCCCCCATTTAGACCATCGTAAAGCGGATTCGTCATAATGTGGAGAAATCGTAAAGCGAGCACCACTGTACATCAAATGAGAGTTCATATGTGCTGTTGTGGGATGGCTCTGTCACAGTACTCAGGGAGTTCTGCTCCACCCACTCTGCCAAGCTACCCTTTTATTCTCTGAATATCTGAGATCAAGGGTTGGGAAACTGTGGTATCAGCTGCAAAACCTGGCTGAAAATCCGGTTTCCAGCACACCAGCCTGTGACTCACCTGGAAGCCAAAAGCCCACCAAGCTGTGCACTTTATCCAGCTCACCAGTCCTGCAGAGTAGCCCAGCCACCGCACAGACTTTATGCCAGAGCTTTCTCAACAGGTCGTTGAGGTGGATGGACTTAGTACGAAGGGCCCCAAATGATCAAATATAACATAGAAATGATTTTTATATTCATTAAAGAAGAGCAAAAGGGCAAAACAAGTCCCAGAAAAGTGAAAAAGCAGTCTGAGACAAGTTTGATGAAAAGCAAAAGATCACAGAAAATGGGGAAAAATAGTCACATTTACTTCTCTACTTCCTGCTGCCTTAGGATACTGAACAGAGTCCATTAATTCATGGCAAGACAGGATCTCGGAGGAGAACAGCAACCTTGTTACGAAGTAAGTTAAGCCAACTCGTGTAACTTACAGTATAAGCCCATAATAAAGGTAAAAGTTCCCCTTGACAATTGAATCCAATTGTGTCCGACTCTGGGGGCCGGATGAGCCCCCTGTTTGCAAGCCAAAGAGCCGGTGTTTGCAGACACTTTCCAGGATCATGTGGCTGGCATGACTAGACACGGAACGCCGCGACCTTCCCACCGAGGTGGTACTCATTCATCTATTCTCATTCGCACGCTTTCAAACTGCTAGGTTGGCAGGAGTTGGGACAAGCAACGGGCGCTCACTTGGTCGTGTGGATTCAAACGGCAGACCTTTCGCTCGACAGCCCAATGGCTCAGCGGTTCAACTTGCTTCATTATTCTCCTACACACTAAATACCAAGTTTCTTTCTTCCTCGACATACTAAGTGCAACTATAGCCGCCGTTTTGAATCATGGTGAGATGGTCAACTATTTTCCGTCAGAAGAAAGGGGGTTCAGGAAATTCCATCCATGTGGAAAGGAGTGAGCTATATTGCCCACAGACATGATTGACCATCTCTCCACAATTCCTGCAGCCTTCCAAATGTCCAGGCGAAATGCCTGAATGGAGCTACATCTCAGCAGTATTCAGGTTTTATTTGCTGATTCTGCTTTATTGTGATCTTGTGGTTGTATTCGCAGCTGGTAGTTTTATCTTGAGTCCTCTGATACAACATCGGTCTAGTAACTGTTTCACTATATCTGCTTTATTCATTTTTGAAAGGTGGTGTACATTGCCCGGAACGTGTTCTGGCTGTTTGGAGGTACCCATTGATTAGTGAAATACACAAATGCATATATTTCTGATTGGAGGACTCCGCTGCAATATTTGGAGCATTATGCATTCTGATAAATATTTTTTAATTAGTTAGGGAACTATAAATTAGGCCTGTTCATCTTAAACAGCAACCAAAAATGTTTCCCCTACCCCAAAAATAGATTAGATTTGGAATCTAAGAAGATCATACGTAGATAATTCTACTGGACAACTCAACACCTTTATTTTAAGATCACGAAGGATCCACTGATACTTAATAAGATGTTCTACCTTGTTAGTAATAAAGACTATTAGAAAAAAAAATACTGGGATCAACATAGACCTATTTTGTATAATGCCTGCAGGTGGATAATCCTGCCCGGGCCAAATTCTGACCTTCTCATAGTATAACTAAGTAGTGAACAAACTTGATATAAGGAAGGACTTCCTTATCTTGTACCATGAGTCTGTTTTTTGTATCTCATTATTTATGAAAAGACGATCGTGTTGCACCTTGAATTTGGACATGCTTTGCATGTTTTACTTTGGCTCTGCCTCATTTCCTCATATACTTTGGCTCATTACAGAAGATTAATCTAGTTATAGTGACCCAGAAGAATTCTTCAAATGGGCAAAGAACAGTCTGTACTTAAGCCATCCCTTCCTGATAGATTTTAATATGCTCTGAGGGCTGGCGTTGGATTCATGTTCCACATTGCTTCAAAGCACCTCTGAAACCTTCAAAAGGTAACTGTGTGAGGGGTGTAACATAAACCACAATCACCACCAGTTCTTTCTCCACAGTTGCAGTCTCAGGACAGCTTTCTCCTCTGTAAAATCATTGCTCCCTGGAGAGAAAAAGATGAATAAGATTCTGCTTCTCTCCACGTCCATCCTTCTCTGCTCCATCTTGGGTGAGTAGCAGGAAGTGTGGCCAAAGACAGAATGGAGGTTAGTGGGAGGTTGAGGATGCACCAATGTATTTCAGGTAACCCATGTGTAGCAGTAAGCTACTTAGTAGTAGCTCCTTGAAGCTATCTGGGCAATATTTTATGACTGATGTGATCAGCAATGCTGGCAGTATCCCACCTGGCTTGTGAAAAATAAATATATTTTTGACTGTATTTGCGAAGGTTTTCATGGGTGGGATCTAATGGCTGTTGTGGATTTTTCGGGCTCTTTGGCCGTGTTCTGAAGGTTGTTCTACCCAACGTTTCACCAGTCTTTGCGGCTGGCATCTTCAGAGGACAGCAGAATGGAGGTTAGTGGGAGGTTGAGGATGCACCAATGTATTTCAGGTAACCCATGTGTAGCAGTAAGCTACTTAGTAGTAGCTCCTTGAGGCTATCTGGGCATTATTTTATGACTGATATGATCAGCAATACTGGCAGTGTCCCGCCTGGCTGGTGAAAAATAAAGATATTTTTGACTGTGCAATTAAGGTAGCAAGGGTTAATATAGTTGTAGCAAGGTACAGTATCTCTCTTCTGTTCTCATGGCATTCTGAACAGCTGGTGTTAATAACATGAATAAGATGATGATGCCTCAACTCTAAAATACATTGGAGCCAAAAAAAGAAACATTGGATCTGACCAGAACCCCTACTCCATGGTCCCTTTCCCTTCTGGATGACATCTTTTGGGCCTTGCATGCATACAAACAACTGTCCCAGCTTCCTAAATTCACATCTGCTAAATAAGGACGGGCAATATTTTACCGATATAAAAAAATGGCAACGCTTTTGGGCCAAAAATGAAATTAAGACAAAAGAAAGGTGCATGCACAGCATAAAATGGAAATTGGTGCACTCTTAAATATTTTTGTTTTATCTAAAAATCAGTGCCCTGCATCCAGCCTTCTTTGAAAAATATGATCTAGCTGGAACAATATTAATTTTCTTGTAAACCTGTCTCTGACACACTGCTTTTATCTCTCCTCTGCAAGCTTGGGCAAAAATGGAACCTGCAATGTGTCGATATTCATTCACAGGAGATGTTGGGTTCTGTTTATATTTTCTAGTAACTGGTTCTCTGGTTCTTTTCATTTGAGCAGCGGAGGCTCTCGTCTGTCGTGTTTGCAAAATCTATAAACAAGGTCTTGGTTGCACAGTTGGGGAGGCCACCTGTGTTGCTGAAGCTGGCGAACAGTGCAAGACAGTGAAAGTCTTTGAAGGTGCATTGCTTCCCCAATTATGACTTGCCTGTATGGATTTTATGTAATTGCATCCTTTTCATCCTTGGTCTCTCTCCCCACCGTCCCCAGATCCTGGATCTTCCACATAGCATATGACAAACCTTTCAGCGCTTGCTTGCTTTGATGACCTGTATTTATATTTTTCTCTGGAATGCTCAGACTAAATGGATGTCACATAAGGAGGCCAACATTTAAAAAATCCACAAGGGAGACTCCATTTCCTATATATATATTCTGTGCTCCTCACCTAATTTTTAATCCACACTCCTTCCCAGACATCCAAGAATAGATATAAGTACAAGGCCCTGATACACTTGAATGTCTAGGTACGTATGCTTTCAGAAGATGCATAGGGAGTCTGCAGACACTGAGGTGATGACTCGTGGTGGAACCCTTGATAGTTACAAGCCTTCTAGCACTGTCCTTGACCCATGGTAATTTACTGACATTGTTCAGCAAGTAACTTGAGCTTAACCCTTCTCCCATATCATTTGGCCTTCCACCAGTTGCATACCAGTGATACAACAATCCAAACCATAACACCATGGCCAAACCATGGCCAATGCAAATCAAAAGCATGGGATCACAACATCCAGAAATAAGAGCATTTTAGGTCTTTCACATTGGCAGTGGAGTCTCCCATTCGCTGAAGTTTGTGGGAAGTCACACGGCTGTTGACATCCCGTGGCAGCCTGTATTTTCTGTTATATGAAAAAGACAGAACATTTTGGACCATGGCTTTTATTTTTCAACATTGGGAGCCCTCACTCTAGAAGCGCATGGTTTTATCCTGTCTGACCTCTGTATTAGCACGATCCTTCTTCTAGATCTGCAACAACTTTTCAACTGGCTCTCTAGATTTTCTGGGAGTTGTGATCCAACAAGAAGTGGAAAGCTTTTTGGGGAATTACTGTCTTGGTGATATATTTTTTTGGGGGGGAAAAACTTCCTAGCTTTATATTTCCATTTTTATCTTCATTACTTTTTCAGTGTCTCTTTCATCCTTGTCTAATAGGAATGACCCTCCAATAATGCTGGTGTTCTAACCATTCCTATTTTCTTTTTGCATTATGAGGGTCAACTGGAAGGGTTTCTGCAACCCCCTTGACTCCTTGATATGCTATATTTGACTCCGTATCCAAACATATCTTGGGAATTAGACCCAGTAGGATCAATACCTCAGGCAGTGCTCTGATAGGGACCAATACGACCTGAGGTGTCTGTGACGGATCAGGAAATATATCTTGATATGCTGATGGACAACTCGATGAAAGTGTCAACCCAGTGTGTGGCAGCAGTGAAGAAGGCCAATTCCATGCTAGGTAGCATTATAAAGGGGATAGAAAATAAAGCAGCCAAGATTATGATGCCATTGTACAAAATGCAGGTAAGGCCGCACCTAGAGTATTGTGTACAGTTCTGGTTACCGCATCTCAAAAACAGCACAGTGGAACTGGAAAAGGTGCAGAAGAGAGTGACTCAAGTGATGACTGGGCTGGGGCACTTCCCTTCTGAGGAAAATCTACAGCTTTTGGGGCTCTTTACTCTAGAGAAAAGGCACTTGAGGGAGGACATTATTGAGATGTACAAATTATGCAGGGGATGGATAAGGTGGATAGAGGGAAGCTCTTTTCCCTCTCACACAATAGGAACATTCCATCAGGGCACATCCACTCAAATTGAGTTTTGGGAGAGTGAGAACAGACAGAAGAAAATATTTCTTTACCAGCATCTTGTTAGTCTGTGGAACTCCTTGCCACAGGATGCGGTGATGGCATCTGGCCTAGAGGCCTTTAAAAAGGGATTGGACAGATTTCTGGAGGAAAAGTCCATCACAGATTACAAGCCATAATGGGGATGTATAATCTACAGGCTTCAATGAAAGGTACCTCAAAATGCCAGATGCAGGGGAGGGAGATCAGGAGACAGGTATCTAGTTGTCTCATGTGCTCCCAGAGGCCTCTGGTGGGGCCACTGTGAGATACAGGAAGCTGGACTAGATAGGCCCTTAGCCTGATCCATCAGGGCTCTTCTTAGTTTCTTATGTAAGATCCCGGAAGTATGAAAGTTTTGATTTCTCCCCCTACCCTCCAAAGTCTTCATCATGTGAAATGGTGCAATAAAACAAGATATAAGAACAAAATGTTCAGAAATGTGACCAGATGTTATGGACCAGCTCGAATGAGGGAAAATGTAGAGGAAGTGTTAGATGTACAGGCATTTGGTTTAAGCACTTGCTTTCAGTTTAAGTGGAATTTGTCGAAAAAGGATAGATGAACATGCTAAGCGGACAGTATTAACGGGTTCCACTGTCTCCTCTTTTACAGAAAAAATCAGGTATTTCTTCAGACAAGGATGCACTTCTCCGAAGGATAAATGTGGATCTACAGTCGAGGACCCCATGTTTGGTGATGTGACCACAACTTGCTGTAATGGAAAGGACTACTGCAACGATATCCAATAATAAATACAAATGAAATCTGCATCAAATGGATATCGGCACTAGCACCAAAATTCAGATTTGGAATTCAGATCTGGAATTTGGAATTACAGCTCTTCAGATTTGGATTCAGAATTTTTAAAAATTGGAATTTCTAGCTATTGAGAACTCAGTTACAGTCAATATGAATACTAGCCATTATTTTCTCCTTTTAAAAAACACAGGCAAAATATTTTTAAAGGATTCCCCTGTGTCCTCTGACGCTTGAATATCAGGAATTATTATTACAGATATTCAGAATGATCAAATCTAGATTCAGATCTATTCAGAGCTATCAGAATATGGCATTATTTGGTGAATTCTGAATATTTCTGAATCTGAATTGTGCATCCCTAAATTCAATGACCAATGGACAGACTTGACTTCTCTCCCATGTACAAAGTTCCACAGCCTCTCCATGTTTATTCAGAAAAGTTGTACAAGGCATTGGTGATGGAAAAGGACATTTTATGAATCATATAATGCCACCCAGAGTAGACCTTTGGTCTAGATGGGCGGGGGTAGAAATCCAATAAAATAAATAAATAAAAATTTCATAAATGACTATGTATTTTGGGTTGTCATCATAGACTGACCAACATACAGTCTTTCAACATTCCCTTTGTTGACTATGGGTTCATAATGATGGTAGCAAAAAGTAATGGGTTTGCCACTGTTGTCTTCCAAGTGGATTATGGAATCTGAAAACTCATTCTAGTTCCGTATTATCTGCTATTTCATAAAGAAGCATGACACAAAGCACTACGATTGGCAAGCACGAGAAGCTGCTAGTACATGAGACGGAAAGAAGGCCAGCGTGACTAGACACGGAACACCATTTACCTTCCCACCAAGGTGGTACCTATTTATCTACTCGCATTTTTACATGCTTTCGAACTGCTAGGTTGGCAGGAGCTGGGACAAGCGACAGGAGCTCACTCCGTCGCGTGGATTCGATCTTATGACTGCAGGTCTTCTGACCTTGCAGCACAGAGTCTTCTGCTGTTTAACCCGCAGCGCCACCACGTCTCATTCTTAGCTAAGTCAACATACTCTAAATACGTTACATTGTAAGTTACTATACCTAAGTCACAATTAGAGTAGGCTCATTGAACCAATGGAACTTACAGTTGACTCAAAATCCCCATTGATTCATTGACTCTAGTACAATTTACTATGCCAAACAACATTAAGTCATACGTAAATCCATCCCATTCTATCTCTGCATCATTCTGCAAATTAAAACACACGGAGATAAAAGATAACGCTTTGTATTTATTTTTATGTGTAGCTATCCATTACCCTAGTGCTTTTAGCAAAGAGCAAAGAGCTGTACTGTACAATTCAGAGAAGTATACAATCCGAAAGATAAATATATTCTGACTCATATATTCCAGCTGAATGAAATCTTCAGAGTAATCAAACAGGCCTCTCTCTTAGGTCAATTGTCAAATATCAAATATTATTGTATGCTGGCCGCCAAATCCCGTCAAAGACCATATGGAATCATATATTTATCTTATTTAATTTGTCACAAGAGAAAGAACATTTCAAGGCAACTACTTTGTTCTGTCAAATCTTGTCAGGTGAAAATGTTTTCATTTGCATAGCTTCTTCGATCATATTTAGTACATGATTTCAACCTCAAAGTTTCTCCCCTTGCTGATGTTACTGTTCCTTTTGATCTAATTGTTTCAAATGATTCAGTAATGGATACAATTTTTAAAGCATTAAATTGACACTAAAATTGATTAACTAACTTTACCTTAGTATTTTTGCTATTATGTTGTCGCTGCCTCGAGAATTTTTCCACTGGTAATCATAAATCAGATGAAAGAAAACAAGTGCATATCACCGGAAGGTTTCTGTGCGGATCAGTCAAATATCATAGTATGACTCTTAAGAACAGTATTGGGCAATTATGTGGTTCTGAATGTACTTAATAATCACATTCTCATAGTATTTGGTAAACATACATAATATATACTTTTAGAGAGAAGGCAAATGCAGCAGAACTACACTGATACCCTACTAGGGCATGTTGGAATGGAATAGGTACAGTGGTGCCTCGCTTGATGAGGATAATTCGTTCTGTTGAAATCACTGTTAAGTGAAATCCTCGTCAAGTGAAATGAAAAAGCCCATTGAAATGCATTGAAGCTGGTTCAATGCGTTCCAATGGGCTAAATACCTTAGCGTCCAGCGAAGATCCTCCATAGGGGCGGCCATTTTCGGTGCCTGTAAAGTGAGGAATCCGTCCTGAAAACACAATGGGGAGTCATTTTGCACAGCAGGCGGCCTAAGTTGGGTACACCTACACTTTAAGAAAGCTTAACCTTACTAAATAAATGGTTCTAACTTTAACAATAAATGGTTTCTGCATTAACAATTTTATCAAGAAGAACATTGGTTTATTTTCTATAAGATTTAGAGGGAAGGGAGAAACTAAAGTGATGAATGCAATGACTAAACAATGATCTCACCAGAGTGTAACTAAGTACAGAACATACTCTCAACATAAGTAAGGACTTCCCAATCAGATATCGTGATGTCCTTCATGCACGCCATGCATGTTTTCTATTTTCTTTTCTTTCTTTTGGCTCAACCTCATTTCTGGGCATTCACTGCCTCGTTAGATATAAGGCTAGTTGATATGATCATAACAACTCATTGAATGCACAAAGAACGATCTGTTCTTAAGCCATCATTTGCCAATGAGATATTAACATTCAATAGGGTCTGGTATAAGACTCTAGATTCAGATTCAATGGTGCTTCACTTCTTCTCTGGCTTGATCAGAAAATGAGAGGGCTATAACAGAGATCACTGCCCAATCTTGCCTCCTTTGTTACTATTTCATTTCGCAAACCATTTCCCTCTTCTATAAGTTCATCAGTTCTTGAGAGAAAAGGGGAAGATGAATATGATTCCGATCCTCAGCATGCTTCTCTGCTCTGTCTTCTGTGAGTAACAGAAAATATAGGAAAGACTGTCTGAAGGCATTGTTTTTTTTGCTCCTTTGTAATCCTTTCTCCACCATACTGTGTTTGTCCATTTCATTCCAGTCGAATAAAGGAACCTGCTTAAAGATGTCATTGTATGGTCAAAGGAATATCTAGATTATGTTTATGCTTCCTAGTAATTGATTCTCTGCCTTTGACAGCTGAAGCTCTTGTTTGCCACTTCTGCAAAATCCACAGAAAAGGTCTTGGGTGCACCTTAGAAGAGAGAACCTGCAATGCAGAACGTGGAGAGCAATGCAAATTGGTCCAGGTATTTAAAGGTATGTTAGTGCTTGCCTCTGTTGATTGTATAGAATGGCTCTCTTTATAATTTTAAAAAAATTTCTAGCTTTGCTATAGCGCATGGCAAATTTTCTGGAGTTTTCATTGTTTATATTCTTTTTTGAACTACTTGTACGAACACATCTTTCCCACTTATGTACCAAGATTGAAAGTAGACTCAGTGTCAAGACCAAATAGTACCAACATTGGCAATGTAGATTGCATACATTGGATCCAACCTGGGTACCTATTTGACTTTGTCTACCATCCTTCTCTCCAGCAGCACTCAGTTTTGTCCAATAGCAGCTTAATGCATGAGGTGTTGGCATACTAAAATGAATAGCCATGCTCCTCCTCCAGGCGGATGCATAGTAAGCCACAATAAACCAACAAGTGACCACAAGATGTATGGCTAGACATACCACTATATCATTGTCCATAACTAACAGCTAATCTCTGCGTTCCTTTGGCTCACAAATCAATAGTTCAACTTAGGGGTGTGTGAAAATAATTCACTTCAACTTGGCCCAAATGATTTGGTTCACAAATCACAATCAAAATACTTAGAGTCCAATTAGAGT